TGCTAAAAATATTCTTATCAGCATCTTAAGCCCAAGTCAGTGCCTATCAGTTAGGAAACAGCTGATCAAACTGCTTGGAAGGGCCCAGAGGCCAGGGCCCTTAGCTAGTGCACGGGGATGGAATGTAGGAGACCTACTGTGCGCTAGGAAATAACAAAGAGGAGAAACTTAGAGAAACGTGGGGAGACAGATTCCAGAGAGAATGACTCTCATGACAATGACCAGGGGAATGTAAACGATAACACCAGAAATGAGGAAGAGGGCCAAGTTCTAAGTGCCATGCCCAGTTCTGAGCTCAACAATACTCCTGACTCTGGCTGGGGAGGTGGGGAGCTCCTGGATCAGAGCACTGCATACACTGCTTCAAACACTTTCTCTTTGTTACAGAGGAGAGGTTGATTCCCCCCACCCTCTATACCCTGGAAAATGATGGTGGAACAGAAACCAAAAAGCTTTCAAAGGCAGGGAGCTCCCCCTAGAGTCTCCATGTTAAACCATGCACTCGCTCCAAGCAGTAAGGAAAAGAATCTCAGAGATTGCGGCAGGAAGGCTGGGCATGAGCAGGGCACTGACCCCTGGGGGGGGGGGGCAAGGCATGGAAGCCCCAGAATTCCTAGAGTACTCACCACCCGTTCCTCCCACACATCAGCCTGGATCCTTCCTCTTTCTCTCTACATACGGTTTCTAGAGGTCAGAATCTCCTTGGGAGAGGGATGGTGGTCTACGGCCACGTCCCCACCGCAGCCAGCCCAGCACCCAAGGTGGCCACGTCCATGCTGGTGGATGCCAACTTCTCCCACTTTCAATGAGAACCTCTCTTGGGAGCCGGGGGAAGCAGGGAGCCCACCTTCTCCTCCCTCAGTCCAGGCACAGAGAAATGGCTCCCTTAAACCCAACAGATGAATAGACGGAAAGGTGAGACCTCTTCCAAGAAGCTGCCAAAACGGCGCAGTCAGGTGACAAGGGGCTCGTCGTCATCTTTCCCTTAATGCCCCCACGAAGTTCTCCTTTGTTCACGATCATTCCTCACGCCTACATCAGGTAAGCCGAGGAAGGAGCAGCCTGGCCCTCCTCCCACACACTTCAAAGTTTATGTTTTAAAGTTAGGTTATTTCCCTATCAAAAAAATCCTGAACGCTATATACATGAACGGAGGCAGTGGCGGCTTTGCCTTGGGACCAACACCTGAAAATCCTTCTCAACATCTTAAAAAAGACTGCCTTTTGAGGGCAGGGCAGGGCCGGGCCCAGAAGAGGCACCTGCTGATTGGTACAGTGAGGCCTGGTTTGGGCCCCAGCTCTGCCACTGGCCCCGCGGATAGAGCACGCTGCGCCTGGAGTTAGGAAAACCAGAGTTCAAATCCAGCCACAGACACTTACTAACTGCATGACCCTGGGCAAACCACTTCCCCTCTATGTGCTTCAGTTTCCTTAACTGTAAAATGGGTCTTGTAACAGCACCTTCCTCACAGTCACTGTGAGGATCTAATGAGAACGGCTGTGAAGCGTTCATCACAGTGCTATTAGCCCAGCACAGCTGCCCAAAGCCTCCTTCTTTCCCAAAGAGGGCCGTGCCACCTGTATCCCTGAACCAATCAGGGCTCCTGGCTGGGCAGGAAGGGCCCCCTCACAGCTATCTGGGGAGTCCCCAGCAGGTCCTGGATGTCAGAGAAGCCTGTAAACTCTAACCTCTCATTGAAATGTAGCTTTTCCTTCCTTTACAAGTGTTTCTTTGGAAACAAAACAAATCAAATAAACCCTAATTCAGAAGAGGGTTCGCCAAACTTTGAAGAAGCCCACCGCATGCCAAGGCCTGGAGGTCACACTGAAATCCACCTTCGCTCACATCTGGAGCCCTCTCTAGCCACCAAGACCAAGCCTGCTTTTTGTTTGGTTTGAGCTGGCACATAACAGCAAAATGGAAAAAAAAATTCAGTGAAAAACCCCTCCTCCAGCCAATGTCAATCTTACACTTCTGTCCTCAGCTAGTCATCATCACACCTTCAGAGCCATCATGGGCCAGAAACTTTCACAAAACTGTCACACGCTGGGGTGTCACCCTCAAGATACCTTGCCCAAAGTAGGGGGAGGGGAAAACTAAACACAGAGACTGTATGTAGCATGCACCGTCACCTGTCTGCTCTTCAATTATGGCCAGGAGGGTAAAAAGGAACAAATGAAAAAAAATCTCTGAAACCATGAAAAATGAAATAAAGTTCACTCAACTAAATCCCAAGCACAGAAAGTCAGTACTAAAAAAAATTCTAAGTTGAAAAAGCCAACAAAATTCTCCTACCCCGGGGGGAAGAGAGCATTTTCATTTAAAGATTTCACTTGACCCATGAGTTATCAGACAAGGAGTTCACTTCATCTGGTCTCCAGACCATGAGACATCCCCCAATCTCAACGCCCTGTCTTTGTGTCAATGACTAGACTTCAGATTCCCAAAGTGCCAAGTGCTGGTACTGAATCACACAGCCGTGGCCGAGTAGAACGTAAGTCCTCTGTGGGCAGGGACTAACCTTGGTCCAAATGACCCCAGAGCCAGGGGGCACCTCATACATACCAGGCACTTCACACGTGCCTCTGGAGCTGAATTTATCTCGTTCACCCATCAGTTTTAAGAACACACATTCCAAATAATTATAAAGTGGAAATCTGAGTGCCAACCTTCTCATTAGCCAGGAGTACACGCGTGTTTTCTGTTCAGGGAAGGCTTGCCCAGCCTCTGACCCTCTGGGGCAAGTCACCCAAGCTCTCAGCATCTCCAGGGAGCTCACTCAAACTTGCAAGTTACCGCAGGAGACCTGAGCCCACTCCAGCAAAGGAAGCTTCCGTAGCTCAGCGGTCCCTCGACCACCGATATCCCACCTCTGCCTCAAAGGCTGTCCCCTCTGTAGTGAATGCCTACAGAGAAAATGGTTTTATTTACACAGGTTATATTTTTTCACCCAAAATGCTTTATGAATGTTAAAGAGATCTCCCCAAACACACTTTCTGGCCATTTAACAGCTCGGCTCCTTTTTCTCTGACACGTTGAAACTGGAGCGTCGCGGCTCTGGCTGATTTGGTCCGAGGCACCCAGTAAATCAGAGCCTTCTGACACAAACCCAGCAGAGTTCGCCAGCCCCTGGTTGGCCTGGTTCAAACTGGTAGATCACATTCTTTCCTAGTGAGGTTAATGCAAACTAGGGCCGTGTTTATGGGCACAGAAGCCAGCGAGCCCGCTGCTGCACCTTCCTTCTTTCCTTGCCGAGGACGGGCACGTGGCTGCCATTCTGGCCCTGGAGAAGCCTGGCCTGGTGTGGTGAGGACCATAGCAAGCCCACAGCCCGAATGGGACGGGTCGGGTGAGCAGCCCTTTCACAAAGTCTGATAAGGCTACCTTAGTAACAAAGTGCATTCCAGAGCAAGCAAACAGTCGGAGAGAAGGTCATCTGGTCTCCGTTCTGCCCTGGGCACGTTCTGGGTCAAACACCAGGACCCTGGATTGTGCTGTCAGTTTTTCTCCTAGCTCCCCACATGAGGTGTGCCTCTACCACCCCCAGCCTGAGGGCATCCCATCCTGGTGAGAGGGACCCCCACTGGTACGGGAACTTGGAAGCCAGGGCCCTGCCAGGTTTCTTCCATCTCAACCACACAAACTGGCCGGTAGAGTAACTGAACCTATATCAGACCACACCAGCTCCTGGTCTTGGCCAAATAAGGACAGACTTAAATTATCTCTCATCTAGTCCGAAGGCTTCAAACCCAGCTCTGTGGTTTTAGATGGAACGGCAGAGAAAAAACCACAGCCCACCTAAGAGATGGATGTAGGTGACTATCCCTTGGGCAGTGATATCCCAGGAGGCAGTCACGGCCCCGGGGCCCGAGGCCCCACCAGGCACTCCCAGACTCGCGGCGAAGCAGCACGGCACAAGTCATCCTGAAGAGAAGCCATTTCCACCAGATGCAGGGGAGGCCCCAGAGCACAGAAGGGACTAACACCAGGGACCACCAGCTCCTTGGCCCCTTGGCCTCCTGTTGCTGGGCACCAGCCCTGACCACCAGAGCTCCAGTGTGAGATGCGATGAGGAGGACTGGCGATCTAACAGAATCCATAAAAAATAAGGAGACCAGGGAGCCAAAGGAAAAAGGGGAGGGGGGCATGCTGTTGACAACACTAGGAGCTTGAAAAATCCACTGTAGCAAGACAGTCACAGATGTGAGGCCTCTGAGTGGAAGGGGAAATGCTGGTACACATGCTCAAAAACACGAGAATGAGAATAAATGCAATCTCAATGGTTTCTATAGGTGACCACACCAACAGGTTTTTCCTGCCTGTTCTATAGCATTTGGCAAGCATCACAACGAAACTTTAAGAGATTCTGCTCTTCGTTTCGTTGCATTCACCAAGGAGAGTAAAATGTGAAACGACAGTAGAAGACACCTTCCTAAAACCGATGGAATGCTTTAAAAATCAGATTATGCCACGTAAATGAAAACATCATTAAAAGGAAGACTAACTCCAAGTGAAAAACCAAGAACGGCCCAGGGAGGAGAGAGAAACGACATCATGCCTTTCTGCAAAGAGTAGGGCCCACTAGGGCAGAATACTGTGCACGCTGTCCCTCGGTGTTTCTGACTGTCACAAGGAGGTCTGACTCTGGAGGAAGAATTACACTCAGCATGACTCACAAAAAAATGAAAAGCAACCGTGACTTTCTTCGTAGGGTGATGTTTATCCACCTCACTCTGAAAGCAGCCCAGAGCACGACTACTTCGCTGCAGAGGGCAACCAGGAAGCACGTGGGCTCGGCCAGCTTCGGGGTCAGAGTCTATGCCACTTCAAAAACCTGAGCAGCTTCCTGCCAGGGGCCCCCAAGGGGCCTCGACTGCAGCCCTCTCCGCCTGGTGATGCCCAGGACCCAGCTCCAAAAGTCTCACTGGCCTCAGAGGAGAAAAGACACCAAAAAGGGGAGAGAAATGCCACTGAGAAAGGAGGAGAAAGGAAACACTTACTCATCGTCTTCTCCCTGGCCCCTGACTTCATTTCCCACACTCTTCTTCACTTTCCCAACCATACGTCCAAACAGGATCTGAAAAACAGAAGATGCCTTTCATTGGTTGGGTTGAGTCGAGCTTTGGGGGCAACAGGAGGGAACCAGGAGCTGCCCACCCAAGAGAATCCCATCTGCCTCTTGCAGGGACAATCTCCGGAGTTTACCCGTGGAACCCATGACTGCTGGCCTCATCATTTCCTTGAAATTTTAAGTGTTTCTTTTTTGCAGGAGTCCAGCCTGTCTGTTTTTGTACAGCCCAGCACTGGTACTAACTACATCCGGTGAGTGAGGCCAGGGTACAGAGGGGGTCTCACACCCCAAAACACGGACCACTTAATTCAGGTATTCACTAGTACAAATGGGGGGTTTGCTAAAGGTCATTTAAAAAGTCAGTTCCCTTCGCTCTTCGGCGTCTGACAAAGGGCGATGGGGCAAACTGGTCCTCTTTCTTCTCCCTTCAACTCAAAGGACGATTTTGTGGGACTCCTCCTGAAGTACTCTTCACGTTCTCGTGTCCGGGTCTTTTCCCAGGGCTGCAGATCCGCGCCCGGATATAACCCGCTGCCTGTGCGTGTAGAGGACTCGGAGAAACGCCCCGCACTCCACGTCTGTACACCTGTCCGCCGGCCCGCTTCTGCAGCGTCCGCCCCGGCCCCCGGCCGTGCCCGGGTCGCGGTGACCCGCCCGGAAAGCTCCCGCACATTCGCTCTCCCTGCGCTCTCGGAGGGCCGCGGGGCCCGGGGGGCCGGGCAGCTCGGGCCGGGGGGGCGGGGGGGGGGCCCGGCAGCCTGCTCGGCTCCTCGCACGCTCCTGCGAACACTCACTTCCTCTCTCCCCGGGCAGCGGGCACCGGGCGGTGGGCGGTGGGCAGCGGGCACGGCGGCCCGACGGACGCCCGCCCGCACCGGCCACCACAAGGGACGCCCCCCGCCCCCCTCCGCGAGAGCGGGTCCGAGCTAGCTCTTGCTGGCCGGGCCGCGGGGTCACGGCGCCCCCAGGCCCGGGGCAGCTGTCAAGGCGCGGGGCCGCGTGGCGGCCGGGCCGGGCCGGGCCGGGTCGGGGCCGCGGCCGCAGACAATGGGGGGCCCCGGGCCCCGGGGGCGGGCGCTTCCTGGCCGCGAGCCCGGGGGGCCGCCCCCCCACCCCCCACTGCGACTCCCCCGCCCCCGCACTCACCTCCGCGGCTCTCCCGGCCCCGGCCTCGGCCCGGCGGCCCGGCTGCAGGAGGCGGAGGCGGAGGAGGAGCAGCCGGATCCGGATCCCGGTCCCCATTCATTAGCGGCCGCTTTGTCTCGGCCCCCTCCTCCTCTTCCCCCTCCCCGCTCCCTCCCTCCCTCCTCCTCCTCCTCCTCCTCCTCCTCCCCCGCCCCTCCCCTCCCGCTCCGCTCCCACAGCGCGCGGGGCGCCCGCGGCTCCAGCTCCGGCGGCCAACCACGGTGGGGGAGGGCGGGGGAGGAGAGAGGTAGGGAGCGCGCACGCCCCGGCACGTTCAGCCAGGGAAGGGGGCCAGCCGCAGGCGGGAACGCGCACGCCCGGGCCGGGGCGGAAGAGACCGGCGCGAGAACGCGCACGAACCGGCCGGGGGATGGGAGGGACACTGAAGGCGAGAAGAGGCAGGGCCCGAGGGGAGGGGGGGGGGAAATGCGGGCGGGAGCGCGCGCAGGACTTCGGCCGCCTCAAGATGGCGGCTGTCCTCCTGCACTTGAGCCCGCCTCGGGACTCCGCGCGGCCCTACCCCGCCCCATGACGGAGGCGGCCCGGAAGCCCCTGCTTGGTGCCATGGCGGGGCAGGGAGGTACACGGGGGAAACCTGAGGCCGGCGAGAGAACAGGCTCTCCCTCAGAGCAGGCCACGGTAGCCTCGGGGATCGCCTAGAAACGCTAACGCTAACGTGAATGACGTACATGTCGTCGGGCCGCCCCACGCATACTCCCGCCCCCGCCCTTTCTGTGGCGGAGAACGACGGGAAGAGGCGTCTGTAAAGGGAAGGTGTGACGCAATGCGAGGCCTACGGCCCTCACGACGTGCGCATGCGCTTCCCTCGTCCTGGCATCTCGAGAAGGGGTGAATGGGGGGGGTTGTCAGAAACGGCCAGCGCGTGACGCCACTGAACGGCTGCTCCGCCCACATCCGCCGACGGCCCTAAAGGCTGAGGCGGGGGCAGGGAAAGAGAGGGAAATGTACGCATGCGCGCGGGGCCTTGCCGCCAGCCAGGTCCCCAACCCTGAAGCCTCAGCTCCCCTATCGGGAGACTGGGTGTAATGATAGGTGTCATGGTCCAGTGCACTTTGCAGTCATCCACTCCTTGGCCCTTCACCACGCCCTGAGAGGCAGGTGCTAGAGGAGGAACTGAGGCCAAGCGTAGCGGAGGCGGGACTCGAACCCAGGTCCCGGGGCTTCTAAAGCGCTTTATAAAGGTAGACGCTGCCTGGAGGAGGCGTTCCCTCTCTGGGTTCGGAGAGGAGAGATTGGCTTCGCGCAGAAGCGCCCCTAGTGGGGGGGGGCGAGGCGGGTCTCCCAGGCTGGGGCCAGAGGTGATGGGGGCACCTCGACTTCGGGGAGGGGTCTCCCAGGGCGGGGCCACAGGTGATGGGGGGCACCGCGACCCCAGGGAGGAAGACTCCCTTCGCACCCAGCTGTTCTCGCGCGCTGGGCAGGAGGGGGAGGGAGCGTGGAGGAAGGGACTGGTCACTTCCGTCTGGGGTCATCGTGGCCAAAGCCCTGTGGGGGGCCCCTCCCCTCACAGAGCTTACTGTCCGAGGGTGGAGAAAGAGGCTCGAGCCAAGGCTCCCTGCCCTCCGCCCCCGCAGTCAGAGGCCCTTAGCTCCCGGGGGGGGGGGCGATGAGGCCCCCCTCCCCTCCCCCGTTGGCGCAAGTTGGGGGCCCCACGCGAGTCGGGAGCCCAGGGCACAAAGCCGCACTCGCGTATGTGGGTAGTTCCACAGAACCGGTGGTGTTCCTCTTTGTCATTCTTTGCTATGGGGAGGGGCCGTTACAAAAATGATAAAGTCTGGGCCAGGGGAGCAGGGAAGGAGCACGGGTGACCCCTGGGGCCATCTGTCCCTTACCTTAGCCAGGTAAGATGGGGGTCAGGCTTGGAGACCAACCAGCCCACACTTAGTGGTGGTTTCTTTCGCTGCTTGCGCCGTGCTGGGCGCTGGGGACACCGGGACCGAAAGGAAACCGGAGATTCCCAGAGACAGGTTTGGAGTGAGCACGTGCCCAGCGTGGACCAGGACCGAATCCGGCCTTTCCCCCAGATCCAGCACGCGGGACGCGTTGGGGACCCAGACGGTCCCTGCCCGCTGTAAGATCGTGGAGACGGGGATCGTCTAGGGTGGGAGAGACAGCAAGAAAGGCGGTGGGGCCGGACCCAAGAGTGACAAAGAGCAGGCTGGCCAAGCTTGGGCCTCTGAATCCTCTGTCCCCTCCAGGATCAAAGTTTACCTTCCTTTGGGCAGAGCACTGGCTGGTGAGAGTGGACACCCTATGTGGACAGGCAGGAAGAAGCTGCATTGCTCAACCAGGCCGGTCAGTTGGGTCCCCAGGGGTCCCCAGCTCCTGCTACTTCAGGTTGTTAGTCCTTCCTTCTCCAAGAAGCCCATGACATCAGGAAGTTGAAACCCAAAGATATCTTGGGGTTTACAGGCCACATTTCATTCTTTGGCCAGTGATAGGTCCCAGCCCACGCTCCACCTGGTCATTCATTGCTTGGGCTCTGATGGCTCAGAGTGAATGTGAATAGCAATTGTTACTGTTTTGGGAGCTGAGGGTTTTCCTCTCCCAGATTGATTTTTTTTAAACTAGGTAAAAGAGGCCGTTCTTTTACCTCCTTTCTTACCTAGCCTTAATCACTGAATGGGCATTGCCTCAGTTTGACTGAGACCTGGGAAAGACCTTAGCTTAAAAAGGCCAAGGTCCCCCCACTGCACCTGGGCCATCTCCAGTCATCTTGATCTATGTCTTGCCACTGGACCCTGAGGCTCCAGAGGAGAAACTGAGGCTGATGACTTTGCACATTCTTCCCTCACTCAAATCCAATTCACTTGCCAGTCATGGCATAACCTTCCTGGTGTCATGGTCCTCTTCCACACCTGAAGACAAACAACACCCTTTCCAGGGCATCAGCCTAGAAGGCCCAGAAGGGAGGCATAAGCTCCTGGCACGCCACACCGGCTCTCACAGGGCAAGGACCCTTAGTTACCCCTGACAAATTAAACTAGCAGACTGCTTGGGGAAATGCACACAACAAGAGACCCTGGGCCCATCTGCTGACCATGCAGTGGGGGAAGCAAGGAGGCAGGCCTCCATGGATGGCCCCGGGGGAGAGGGGCTGAGGGGGGGCCCAGATGCCTGGAAAGACTTGTATGGACTGATGCTGAGTGAAGTGAGCAGAACCAAGAGGACTTTGTACACAATAACAGCCACGTTGTGCAATGACTAATATTGGTAAACTTAACCCTTCTCAGCAATGCAAGATCTAAGACATCTCCAAAAGCCTCATGATGGAAAATGCTATCCATATCCAAAGAAAGAATTATGGAAGTTGAATTGCTATTTTTTTCTCTCTTCTATTGAGTTTTATTTCCTCTTTCTGATGGTTCCTCCTATTGGTTTTAATTTTTACTTACAAGATCAGTAATGTGAAAATATGTTTAATAGGAATGTAAATGTATAGCCTATATGAGATTGTGCACCGTCTTGGGGAGGGTGGTGAGGAGGAAGGGGGAGAAAAATTTTATACTCAGAAGTATATGGAAGTGATTATTGATAAATCAAAAGAAATTAATAAAAGAAATTTTTTTAAAAAAGAAAAAAAGAAAGCTGGAGGTAGGAGAGGTGCCTTTGGTTGGTGGCTGGGGAGCAGGTTTCCTGGAGGAGGCATCCCTGACACCCAGCTTCCAAGGCAGAGAACTACCTGGACAGCCTTGAGATGCTGAGTCTCTGGCCTGGCAAGAACCTAGAGAAATGGAGGGGAACAGGGGAGATTGAGGGGAGGTCACAGCACAGCCCAAAGTCGTGTTCTGCTGGAATAGGGATTGTGCAGAGGGGAGTTCTGTCGAAGACAGCTAGTTGGGTCCAGATTTCAGAGGATTGGACAGGCTAGTGGAGAGCGTCTGAATTTTGTTCTGTAAACAACAGCAAGCGGTCAAATATTTGTGTCTGGATAAGGAAGGTTACATTGGCTTCCCTGCAAAGGACGAATTGGAAGAGGAAGAAACAGAAGGAGGTTGTTTAGGAAGGCAGCGCTATATGGAGAGCAGACATCTCCTCCCTGTCACAGCCAAACTCCTGGGAAAAACTCGGCCTGTGCTTTCATTTCCTGCTTTTCTCACCCCCCCACCTGCTTCTCAGCCCCTTGCTTTCTCATTTGTCTCTACCCCAGACTGAAACTGGCCTCTCCAGGGTCACTGAGGGCCTCGCTGTCCCTCAGCCCAGTCTCCTCTGGCTGACTTCCTGGATGCCTCTCTACAGCATTTGATCCCATGGGGCTCCTCTTTGGGAATCCTCCCTGGTTGTTCGGGACGCCGCTCTGTCCTCGTTCTGCACGTCTGGTTGACCCTTCCCCTGCACCTTTGCAGGAGCATCGTCCTCTCTGTGGATGAACACCAAGGTTCTGTCTTGGGCCCTCTACTTTCCCTGAGTGACCCATCACCCCTCCACAGATGATCCTCAATGTCTCCTAAGCTCCTTTCCCACATCTCAGACCTGGCCTTCCCATGAGGATCAGAAATGCCATGTAGTCAGAGGAGAACCCATTTCTCTTTCTTCTACTTCCTGTTTCTGCCACGAGCATGCCCCATCTTGCAGCCCCCCAGGTTCAAGGCTTGGAAGTGAGTCATGCCCCACTCTTCATTCTCTCTCCCTCCTCTGCCCCCCATAGCTAATCAGTTACCGCTCCCCAAGAATCTCACCTCCACCCCGATCTCTGTTCACCTGAACTCGGGCCTTTGAAGTACCCTCCTAAGAGGTCTCCCTCTAGGTGGTCCAGCCTCTCCTCTCTGCAGAGCTGCAGAGGCTGTAGTCCTAAAGCAGCCCAGAGCTGACCATCTCCTGCTTCTCCCCCTTGCCTTTAGGACCAAACCTGTTCTCTGGCTTTCGAAGCCCTCCGTGTTCTGGTCCAAATCTATCTTTCTAGGCTGTCCCCCTGCCCCTCCTTGGCTTCCCCACACAGAAGAGTCTTCCCTCTTTTTTCATTCCCCTTGTTAGTGGCCCTCTCCATCGCTTTGTACTGGTTTTGCATTTGCACTGCATTCACTTCCCTGTACAGTGCCACGTTCCCTTGCTGGAAGGCGGTGGG